ATAGTTAAAAAAAAATAAAGATAGAATGAGAATTAATTCCTAACACCATCTTTGGTGTCAAAGATAAGATAGAATAAGAATTAATCGTCAACGCCATCTCTTGAATGTTAAAAAATAATTCTTTAAAGAGATATTTTTAAGAGATGACACTAGCAGTCTCTTCTCATCTATTCTCTATTCTTTTTCAATTATTTTTTGTCTTCTTTTTTGTGTTTCATTTGCGGCATTCTGAAGATGGCGCTGATTTCAATATTTTTACTCTATTTCTGTTTCCCTCTCTCATTATTTGTTTTCCTTGTTTATATTAATTCTTGATGAATAAAGAAAAAATATGGGATGTCAGTTGAATATATTTTCATCATTTTTTCTTCATAATTATAATGTGTTTTAATGTAAAGAATATAGATATTATATTCTCGGTTTTACAATCTAATTCGTTAAAACGGGAATTTTGCAAAACATAGTATACTTTGATACATGACGCGAGTGTTTTGACGCGAAGCACGGCTCGGCGACAGCGCAGCAGTGGAATTTAAACAAACGAAAACCTTTACAATGGAGGGAAAAAGAATTTTGAATCATTTTATTACTATCGAAGATTCGTTTATAGAATCTATTTTCTCGCTATGCGTAATTTTATAAAATATTTTTAATACATATAATTAATTATATGTTAATTATTCAAATATTAATTATTATTTAATATGAGATAACAGAAACTTAATATGATATAATTTTAGTGAAAGATTATAAAGAAAATATTATATTATAAATATTTTTATAAATAAATAAAAATAATAATAATTATAATATGTATTAAGGCTCTTAATTAGAAAATCGCGGGAAACTACAAAGTCATATAATGCCATCTATGTTTGTGAATTTCATTCAATTCTCAATACGGTAGGCCGCCTATGAGCTACAAGATTTCCTTCGATGGCGGCGTTGTTGCTGTGTGTGAACCCCTACAGAGCTGGCTACGGGGCAGTCAAATGTCTCGTAAAGGAACTCCCTCCGCTTGCAAGTCAAAACAAATCCCGCGAATCTTTCGTAATCGACGAGGTTTGTGTTCGGTTCGCGGTTGGGCGCACGGAGAGGTTGGCATTGTGGGTGGATCGGTAGGTTACAACCAATTAAATTTGCTACCCGCTTCACCGGATGAGGACAAAAGAGAGGAAACAAATAAAAAAGAAAAACAGATAACGAGGAGTGACGACGAGAGTGTACAGTATCACGAAAGAGAGTGGATTGAAAATAACCAAGTGACGAATAGTGTTACAGGCGAATCGAACGTTGATGTGATCGGTAAAGCTGCCGATGTCGAGACTGTAGCTGATATTGAGAAATGGTTAAAAACGCGGACGGAATCCGTGTCGAGCATGGACCTCGACGCGATCAAATCTGGAGTCGAGGAGGGCGTCGACCGATACCTGGGCGAGGAACTCCAGCACGCTTTTCTGGAAAAGGACCCTGACGGATTATCAATCGACATCGATTTGTCTGACAAGAAACTCAATTTAGGTTATGATCCTTTACTTCATGAGCTCCAAAATGAGAAGTTACTCGATGAAAAAGATAGCTTTATACTACCAGAATTTCAATTGGATCATTTAGATCCATTGGCGTTATCTCCCGATGATATGATGGTTGCCGGTGAAATTTTACCGTCAACGAGTGCTCAACCTACTTTAAGTGTCCCTAACAGAGATGACGAAGAAATATGTACAGAGACTGAACAAACTTCGCTTATGAAGAAAGCTATGATTCCAGATAATCAAGAATTGCAAAATAAATCTACACAAGTTGTTGTAGATGATTTTCATAATATAAATAACGTGAATAAAGAAATTGAATTGCAAAAAGATAATAGCTTGTGTAATGATACTACGAATCTCTATGTACAAGATCTCAATTCAGAAAATACTATACATGAATTGACAGATACAAAATTGGTTGATGGTGATTCTGAAAATGCTATAATTGAACAATTAAAAACAAAAGCTAAAGTAAAATTAGAACCACGTATTATTAAGAAACGTAAAAAAATATCGGAAACAATAGAAAAGAAATTAGACAATGAAATAAAAATATCTGAAGAAGATGTTGTAGATACTGAAGATAGTACAATGGCTGTTGTAGCTATATCAACAGATAAAATTTCAAATATGACACAAATTGTTATAAATACAGGTACTGAAGAACAGATTTATCAAGGAAAAACTTCTGAACTTATAGAAGCTACAGGAAATTTTCCAAAATTACCAAAAATTGAAACATCAACTGTGTGGAATGGAACAATGGAACATAGTACAGAAAATCCTAGTAATCAACATGAAATGGTGATATCTAATGCTTTAGAAGAATTAGGTATTACGGATGATAATCTACAACCAATATCTGTGAACGAAAATGGAAAAATATGGCTTTGTCCACGTGATGATTGCAATAGACAATTTAGTAAACTTTATGCTCTAAAAGGCCATTTACTAGCACACTATGGTGTAAGACCTTTCAAGGTATATAAATTGTACATATTATTCACAAATCTTTACAATTTTTATTTATTTTTACTTTCTTCTAATTTCTCAAATAAAGATTTAATTAAATAGAGATAATATATTTATTTATGTTTGTTTTTTTTTTCAGTGTGATTTTGAAGGATGTGCTTGGGCATTTTATTCAGAATTTAAACTCAAAAGACATAAAGAAACACATTTGAAACGTAAAGATTATGTTTGCGAGGTAGAAGGTTGTAATCGTCGATTTACTACAATTTATAATTTATGGAGTCATGCAAAATTGCATAGTCGCCCAAATAGAATATTATGTCAAGTACCAGACTGCCAAGAAAAGTTTCAGACAAAAAGAGCCTTGGAACTGCATATGAAGACTCACGATCAAAGTCATGCTCCATATATTTGTAAACATGAAGGATGTGGCAAAAGGTATTATAGTAGTAATGCTTTAACGTCGCATCAAAGATGCCATAGTTATAAAGAAGTAGATGTAAAATGCTCGTGGCCAGGTTGCGGTAAAGTATTTGATAAGCCTTGTAGGCTAAAAGCACACATACGTTCGCACACTGGCTGTAAACCCTATCTTTGTACATTTCAAGGTTGCCAATGGGCATTTTCTTCCTCTAGTAAATTAAAAAGACATCAAAAGAAACACACTAATGAACGGAAATTTGTATGTGATGTTCCTTCTTGTGGGAAAGCATTTATGAGATCAGAACATCTTAAGGAACATAGATTAACGCATAAAGAAGGAAGATATTTTCAATGTTGTATATGTAATGCGAAATTTTCGGCAAAAAGTAGTTTATATGTTCATATAAAGAAGCATCAAGTTAAAGAAGAAATAGAGACAAATACACATGATAACATCAATAGTCAAAAACGGAGCAAAGTGAAAGATATACAATGTTCCAGGGTAAATCCGGTTGTGAAATCAAAGAGAAAGTCAATAGATCTGAATATAAATGTAGCTTGCCTGAACACATCTATAATAAAAGAAAAAACTGAACATAATAATACAATAATTCAGGATAGTAATGAAAATCAAATTAAAAACGATACAGTGCCTCCACGAGATCAATCTAAGACTTTATATCATTGTCCAGTTGAATCTTGTACACGTTCGTATTCTACGAAAGCTACGCTTAGAGCACATATGTTAAAGATACATGGTACTCGTGTTGAAGAGTGCGATAAAACAACTGGTAAAATATCTGGAGATTCTGTGTGTAATATTGATTACATTTTATATACTGCTCCTTCGGTATCAAAACCTACAGAACAAATGATAATGGTAGCACCTTATGATGCTGTTATTTTCAGTACTTCATCGAAAACAGATCGTTCTCTTCCTGAACCAGAACCACCACCTCTTAATAATATAGTAAAAACATCGGAACCTTCTTCAAATATTACTACACATAAACAATTATCTAATCAACATATGAAAAAAGATCAAGGATCTGCACGAACTGATTTAACTTTTTCCGACGTGTGGAAATTAAAAGCAAACGGTGCTGTGTTAGATTCGGTTGTCGGATCATCCGATGTTGTAGTAGGTACAAGTGATTTAGAAGAAGGTTTATTGCTCACAGAGGAATTGCCTTCAATGTATTATCAAGATGATGTAGTAGGAACAGAGTATCAGGTACTATTACTTGATTCAGTACCATCTGAAAATACTATAAATCTGCGAGAACTTGAATAATAAGTGAGTGTACTTTGAAAATGGGTGAAAAAAGCTGATCATTGTTATCTTTTAATATAGGATAAGTTTTAATATGGTCTGTGATCAAAGGCTTGTTTAGCCTTACATTCATTTATACTACAGTCCATAATTGCTTCAAATCGTTATTTTATTAATAAATTGTTGCTATTTTTCCAAAAAGTTTATTCATTGTTCTTCTATTGTATATAAAATTCCTAAAACCTTGTGTATATAAATATGTATAATAAAATTCGTTTACTAGAATTAAGATATTGAATATACATATTGTAGGATGTGAGTAGTTTATACGCTATACATTTCATACATTGAGAATTTTTACTAATTGTATAATAATATAATTCAATAATCTCAATTTAAAATTAAAATATGCTGAGATGTAAATGAAAAAAATTAAAATGTTTTTATAAGATTGGTATACAATAATTAAAAAATGTTGACAAAATACAAACTTCATCAAACTAAACTAAATGCGTATATGTGTGCGTGTATTAAAAATATGTTTAATACATTATTTTCTTTATAATAAATTTTTATATTGCTAAAATTCTATCTACAATTTTTGTAACTAATAATTAAATTATTTATACCGTAGTATATGATTTATTTGTTTAATTAAATTAAATTTATATCAACTTAAAGTTTATTTAAAAATAATTCGAGGAATATTCTGTAATAATATAAATACAATTATATAAATCATAAATACACAAATACATTTTTACGTTTTACAATTTCGTATATATATTTATTGTCGAAGTCTTATTAAATATTTATTAAAGAATGTAAGAAAATCACTTTCATTTTCCTTTACACTATTTTGTAAATAAAAAATTAATTTATCTTTAAAAAAATATATAAGGAAATTACAGTTTTTAAATATATAATTGTAAAATACAAATAATACGTTTTAAAATTATTATAAAAAAAAATTGCCTATTATCGCTAAATTTTAAACAATATCGATATTTTTTTCTCTTTTAGACATCTGTGTTTCTAAATATGATCTTCCTAATTTTTTGTCAATTTTCAAATACAATCTATTCTTTATTATATCTAAGAAACACATTAAAGAATGCAATATGGTTATTAATACAGCTTCACCTATACATACCAATGAAGCTTGAACGGGTTTTTTCCAGTCAAGAATTTTATAGATATAATGGTAACCATTCTTGTCTACTCCACCAACCAAATAATATATTACTGAAAATATAATATACAAAATAACTAAAATTAAACACCACCAGAAGTTCCTTAGTCTAAACGGAATGCTCGTGATACAAAAATCTATTATCATTAAAATACTGTTACATATGTGTAACATAATATTTAAAGGATCCAAATAATGAATTGTAGGATCATATATACTACTCCAATAAGTAATTGTAATTACAATCGCTGTATTAGTAGTTATAACATAAAGGAACAAATAAACTCTGTCCATCGATCCTAGCATCAGCGTAGAAGGATCGAAGCCCGATACTTTTTGCAGATTCCATCTTCTTAATACGAGAAAACCGCCAAGTAAAGCTTGAGTAAATCCTAATACTAAATCCCAGTTGGTCATGTAAATTGGCCATTTATCGTACGCTAACATAGGTTTGTAACTACCAAATTCGAAAATTGAACATATGACAATACAAGCCCAGGCCATAAAAATTAACCAACGATATAATAGATACCAGGTGGCTACATATTTCTGACATTTTGGTTCGGATAAAACTCGTGGATGCAATGGTTGATTTTTCTTAAAAAACCACTTTTTTGCTCCTTCTTGACACCAGATTTTATTCACCATCGTCCGACGACCTATAAATAAATGATTTTTATTATTAAAATATAATAAAAATAATATCATAACTTACTATGCAACAAATTATTTTGAAATTTCGAAAGAATACTGAGCGAAATACGTGTTAGAAATTATGAAATATTAAAAATTGCATTATATCCTTCACTACTTGCGTATAATCAAATATAATGACCAAGATAATTAGATTTCTGTTATTTCCATTTTTTTAATTACGCTATTTGATATCTAATATGATATCTAATTAGATATCACATTTTACTATATATGTGTATTTGTTTCGGTCGATTTTCATTTGTTGATTTTAATTCAGTTAAATTTGCCGCTCAAATCCTGATTTAAAAGATCATATAAATGTTTTAAATTATTGATATATAATTTGTATAAAATTATATATTATTTATTTACATATTATAAATTTTCATAGAAAATATGAGAAAATAAAAAAAATTGTTATCATTCTTGAATCATATAATAGGTATTATATTGTAAAGAAAGATATGACAATCGTATAGTTTTTTCGGAAATCGATCATATATTAAAAAATACTTACATGATGAAAATTGTATGAATAAAAGTAAAAATCGTTTTAAAATCAACAGATTCCTGTATAATATTGATACCATATTGATATTTTACGAGTTACGAATTTTTTTAAAAATCAAATATGTGAAATAATACATATCACTTGTAGAAATGACAACATAACCTCTTCATATGAATAGAGAATCATTGCAGCCATACTGGTTTTATTCAAACGATTTAATTTTAAAATAACGCTTATTTGAATATTGTTATTTTCAAACTTGTATAAAACATAAATTTTTAATAATAATTAATGATAGTATTAATATTACATAGCTTTTAATTTTTATAAAATGAAGATAATAAATAAAAATGCAATATTATGAAATTTTAATCATTTTCTGTTTATATATATATATATCTTATACTAAATAAAGTATTTATATCATAATTTAAGTTTAAAAGTTTATATTAACATCAAATTTTTAATAAGATAAGTATTGGAGATAAATTTTAATTTTTTATTTTTTTTACCTAAATTTATCTTATGATACATTTGAAAATTATAATAATTTTCGCGATAAATACATACAATATTCTATTTTTACAATATCAACATTTTGAATGATAGGAAACTATATATTATTCCAACTTATGTTAAAAAGAAATAATGTTTTAAAAGTTATATAATTTTGTATTATCTATGTAATCAAATATGTTTAAAAATACAACTATGTAATACGATTTTTAGATTATATCTATTTAAATAACAGTTTGATAAAAACAAATGATAAAAATAAGTCACGCCGTTTATTCGAAGAACTGAAGTGACTGAGGTGGAACAACCGTGTAAAATCTTTAATCACATTGTCCAGACACCGGCGCAGATGGAAGCTACTTTGAACTAATTAACCCTGTTAACCCAAGGCGCTGAGGTTCGCACGGACACCGCTGTAAATTTACGTAGCACGCATGTATACTCTACATAGATAGTATGGTTAATTGGTCAATACAATTTCCTCTTAATTTACTACAATTTTCTATTATTACTACTATAATCATATGAATACAGGTCGATTTCGTTACAAACAATTAAATTAATTAATCCTTAAAGCTTTCTATTTATAGGACAATTATTTATACAACAGATAACAAGATTAATAATAATATAGGAATTTTTGAAAAGAAATTTTTGAATCGTATATTGGATTAATAGATTGATAATCAAATTCAAAAATTGATAGCGCGTGTAGAACAAGTTTTAAATGAATATTGATAATGAATATATGAATTGATAAATTTAAATTGATACATAACATTGTTTTATCAAGAAAAATAACTTTTTGTAATAAACATTGAAAAAAAACTGTTGCACGAAAATTTGAAAATTAAATATTAAATAAAAATATTTAATTGAAAAATATTCAATAAAGTTTATTATTAATATTTTTAGTGAATATATAAATAATTTATTATTATTATTATTATTATTATAATTATTATTATTATTATATTATTTAATAATGTAGTATTTAGATAGATAGAAGTAAGAATATATTAAAGAAAAATACTGATTTCTGAGTTAAGAAAACTGAAGTGAAAATTGTTTTAATATCAATTGACTAGAGTTTGATATATTGATAGTGACGTCAGTCACAATACTTGTTGTCAATACGATACTCTATAAAATTTATTATCCACATTAAACCTTTAGACCTTTAGATTTACATTATATCTTTAATTATCAAATTTTAAAAAATTAATTTTAAATAATTATTAAATTATAATAATTTTCTTCATATATAAAAAAAAAAATAAAAATAAAAAAGAATTTTGCTTTAAAGTGAAAAGCAAAAAGAAAAACATAAACGAACCAAATTGTTGACAAACGAAGAAGAAGATAAACTTAAGGCGTTGAAAGCTGCGATCAATGTATTTTTCGATCCCGTTCGATCCTCGATCAGCATAAGTATACGATCTGCCTGTACGATAGCACGCCTGACCTGTCACTGACCAGTCTCCTAGTCAGTCTGTTCAAAACCCTATACCATGAGAAATCAATCAAATCCGTACGTTACCCTTTCCCTTCCTCCATTCTTTCCTAACCATGTATTTAAACCGCCCCTGAACAACCGAGCTTCACTGCACATGGAACGTGTAGCATTTCTTTTCGCCTAATCATCATGGTTGATAGCTACTTTTAGGGTGTCTTTAGAATAAAGTCCTTCCCACTTTATCTCTTTCATACTAAATATTGAATATAAATTTATAGTTAATAATATAATTAATAACTTTCCTTGATCTATTTTATTTATAAAAATTAAAAAAAATAACAATATTTCTCTCATTTTTGCATATCTAGCAAAACATATACTAAAGTCGTGTATATGTATAGAACAAAGTTGCTCGAAATAGTCATTTTTGATAAAATATTTCAAGATAATTGCAATCGATTAGGATCTAAGAAATCTGCAGATTTATCTTTTATTATATAGATTTATACGATTAAAATCAAAGTTATGATTCATAAAATCAATAAATGTTTAAAACATAATAATGTAAATTTACTAGAAGTCAGCGCACGTATTATTCTTCCGAATCATTTATGAAATGTAGTTCATTCTACAAACCAAGAAACAAAGAAGATTCTTTGAAGGCACACCAAAGAACATGTAATAAAGTATAAACTAAAGAGGCACAGTAAAACACGCTCTTCTTCTATGTTTTACACAAAACAAAAGGTATGTGGTTTTTGTATTGCGATTTCGCACATAAAAGTTAGTTATGTCAAAGCTATAAAATAACTGTACAATAAGCAGATGAATATGACTTGTAATAAATTTTGAATAATAATATTCTTCAATTCCGTTTTACTGAGTCTCTTTGTTTTAAAAATTCTTTCCATACTTTTGCAAATATTATATAATATCAAATGAAAAATAATATGTATATATATATATATATATATATATATATTATTTTTCATTTGATATTTTATATATATATGTATGTATACACACAACACACTGTTGAAGAATACAACCATAAACTTTCACAAGAACTTCAACTAGATCTTTCAAAAATCCAAAAAAAAAATCTTCTTCGACACTTTTTTTGTGACACTGATTGAGAAGCGTGTATCGCTAGCACGTATTACACCCGGCATGAAATTCGACTATTCAGTAATGAAGATAAAACCTGAGTCCTACTGAGTCGGACAAGCGGTGCAACGTAAGAAGAAAAGAGAAAACGGAAGTGAAGGAAAGAACGAGGATAAATATTCGCACCGCATAGCGTGAAGGTTGGCGAAAACTGCAGATGTTCTTTGATTCTGCCATCGATGCAGGAAGTCTTCTCCTCGTGGCCCTCTATTTCCTCGCACTCGGGAGGCATTTGAGTCCCGGTCTCCTGTTCAACGTACCGCTTAGCCCGTGACTGCCCGGCAACCGGCTCCGCGTGCTTTAAATCAATATCAATCGCTATACACCAGCTGTTGCCCCCGTGTTTTACGGCACTGTACGAACACCTTTTCGACACGTTCTGATAATAATTGCTAGTGAATTTTCTCCCTTTCCCCGTGAACGACTTTTGTTAGTACGAATCAATGCTGGATGTATCATTATTTAGTGGTTTAGGTTCATTTTTATAAAAAATATTAGTATCGAAGATATATAATCTATAATCTAATATATAATCTGATTTTTTTAAATTTTTCAATATAATTTTTTTTATATATATATATTGAAATTAAATGATTAAATGTAAAATCTATAAATTTAAATTGAAGAGATTTAAAAGATTGAATAATTTGGAATATCAAATTAAATTTATATAATAATAATTTGAATTTTAAAAAATTCTTCGCCCATTTTAATTTTTTGTAATATGAGTATTAAATTAAGTTAATGAGCCTAATATTTGTTTCTTTGTTTAAATTTTTTTTAATTTTTTCAATCAAATCTTTTTATGATAATTGATCCATTAGGAAGAGAACTATATAAAATATGTAAATAATTCATCATTCAATTAAAATAAAAAGCATTGTAGAAATTAAAAAAATATAAATTTTATAAAAAATAACTTGATAATTAATTACAATACAAATATTTATTGAAATATTACATAGATTTATTCCACTCTAAATCAATCATTCTTGATTTAATGTCAATGATAATTTTTAATTAAAATGTTACATATGATAGAAAAAAATAAAATTAAAAAAATTTATATATATATTATAGATTTAGTAGTTCATTGAGAAATGTAAAGCTTTAAATTTTACAATTTTCATTCAAGAAATACGAGTAGTACGAATCGAGCTAATCGATCAGTAGCGATCATAGTAACGGAGTGCGTAGTTCGTTAACTTGAACCGAAGACTACTATATATTTCAAACTATATAACTATATACTTCAATAGATTGTTATTTCAATTTTTATAATCATAAATAAAGTAAATCAGATATATCAAAAACTGAAATTTTCTTCTTATTTATTACTTAATTTTCTTTTTATTTATTATTATTCGCAAAAATTTTTCGATTTAATTTGTTGTAAAAATAATTCAGAACTTTATATATATAATATATGCAATTATCAAAATAAAATTTTGATTTGAACAAAAAGCTGGAAAAAAAAGTTCAATTAAACAGAAACTGAATAATATTATTTTTTATTATGTTGATTATGCTTAGATTATGATTAATTATTATGATTAATTATTATGATTAATTATTATGATTTTTTAGATAAAATCTGAAAAAAAAATTCTTCGATGCTTGAAATAAGTCTCTTATGTAAGTCTTTTCTCAACCAGTAAAAACGCATGCTTTTTATGCATCATTTTTTCCTTTTTTTATATAATAGTTACAATGATATTCATTCGAAATTACATTTATGTTCACAATTTTTCTAAAAATGTATTTACTTATAATTTAATATGTAAAGTATTATAATATATATAAATTTAAAATAAATTATTAATAGATGTATTGATTATTTAATTTAATTTGTTTCCATTTAAAATAAAAAATTTTTGTGTATATTTCATATGCAAATTTAATTACATTATGAAGATTTCATCTTCATTATATTTATTAATTACATTCATTAGAATTGAATTCTTATTGAATTGTTAAAAATTCTATTTATTTATATTTATTTTGTAAT